CTGTATACAAAGTACCGTCTGATTGAATTACTTTACCGCTGATCTTGCCATTAAAATATCAGGCTCGCAGACACGGGTCACGACATTCATCCTCTTCTGGGAATCATGGATACAGAATCAGGGGTACTTAGTGGACAGTTTGAAATTCTGCCGACAAAGAAGTCATTCCTCGTAACTCTAACAAGAAAATCGTTGACTTACAGCAAAGGTGCGGCTGGATCGTGTCCTTGTGTTGGAAGAAATCGCTCGGCGATCTCCGTAACAACGAAATTGGTGGATGTATACGGAGCACGAGCCTACAGGGGTCCTGATGGAGATATAGCCGGCTATTTTCAAGTATATTCTTGTCCCTTGTTTGAAAAGAAAAGAGTTAGACGTAAAACTTGCTTTAAAGTCACATCGTTTGACAGCGAGGAATCGAATGTCGCTTTGGCCGAAAAATGGGTTCGGACTATTCTATGGTTGGTCAAGGAACCGGAGAAGTCTTTAGAACACATTGAAGGTAAAATTTGCCTTTTTCATACGTAACCTGCGAGACATGACGCTTTGTTAATGTTTGTGATTGGTAAAGTTTCTAAAATCATTGATATGTTTCGGACGGATGAAACTTATAATGCAGCACGATCGATGTAATTATTATATCGATCGTGCTGCATTAGTCGTATCAATAAATTACGTCACAGCTCGAGACACTCACATGAGCATGTACAAATTAGTTGTTAATTTGGGTCAGACTGCTACAGCTGTTTTTTAAACATGCACTGATCATGTGACTGATGGTCTTTATCGTTTCATAATTCATTGCAATTTACCTCCCAAGGTTAAAAAACTATAAGCTTATTATTATTTACCAATACTGTTCACACTTATGATAAAAATTGAAAATTAAAAATCAAAGGTGTTCTCAAAAAGATAAGTCTTTGAGCTTAGTTTTAAAAACGGAGAATTGATAAAAGTTGCCTAATTTCCTCTGGAAATTTGTTCCATTGCTTCAGTCCTGCTACTGAGTATGCCCCTAAGGGTGGGAGAGTGGTGGGGGGAGGGGTACTCAACCAAATTTTATTACAGGGAGGCTCTGTCCACAGTTAAAACCCCTTATCCTTTTATATACCATTTTTGAGAGAAAAAGTATGCCTCTCTTTTACCTTTTATTGAAAAATGCTACCCCTTTCATGTACCAGTTTAAAATGCTGCACCCGTTTTAACTGCTGTAAGAGGACCAAGTAAGTATGAGAAAATCACTAAACCAGAAGGTTTTCTGGTCTTTTTCACAGCTATTAAATGCGCCTGTAGATGTGGCCCAGGTTCTTGTATCTCAGTAAGTCTCTGAAGTAACTAGGTGCCTGACCATTTTGAGCCTTACAAGTCAATAGCAATATTTAAAAAATAATTTTGAGGGGCAGAGGGAGTGAATGTAAACACCTGAGTATCAAGGCTTCTTGATGCAGTAACAAGGCAACCTTTTAAAATAGATAGTTAATATTAAGTACTTGGAAGTTATAGTGTTGTTTAGGTTTTTGATTTGTTCAAATGTAAACTTGTTACCTGTTTACTCCATATTTTTGCAGAAGAGAGAACTTTACCACCTGGCCGTAAGCTACTAATACTTATAAATCCATTTAGTGGATCTGGAAAAAGTTTAAAAATCTTTCATGAGCAAGTGGAGTCAATGTTAAATGAAGCTAACATTGAATTTAATCAACGAACCACAGGTAGGTATAATTTTCACTGATTTTGTTACTTGAAGTTCCTTGAGTTTTAGAAGAGGGGAAAACCAGAATAATCCTGCACCATGAGAAAATAACCTCTTGGAACAATTAAAAGCATAAGAACCTGCACATAAACTGAACTGGCCAACGTATGGTGTTATGCCTTCTGATCTCATGAACAGTAAATATTGAGTCTTTTTTGTGGAGAGGAAGTGCTCTTATCAATGCAGAAATTTTATTTTTTTGCTCGGCAGAGGACGTTTTGAATATTGATGTCCTCAAGGTGGGACAAAGATAAAAATCTCAGGTTGGTCAAAGAAACTGACCAGCCCAAAGTTCTGAGGAGTTTAATTCCAAAATTAAATATTTTGATAACACTTATTTCTTTCGAAAAAGGTAAATTAATAAACTTTCATTGTTATCTAGCAGCCAGCTGTAATGACCTGTGGACAACCGACACTTATTTCTAGCCCAATCAACAAATTCTCATAGGAAACCAGTTACCTTGCTAATTCGGACACTTCATTATCAAACTTGTGCTGTAATAGACCTTTCCGGTTTGAAGGTAAAAATAACCTTCAGTCAGGTTGACAGCTTGTTGATGTTCCCAGCGCTACAATACACCAGATAAGATGATTTATAGACCTCAATTTTTGGTGTCAATGAGTTATGCAGAGAAGGGTTTTGATTAAGTAAAATAAAAATAAGTAGGAGCCATGTTCCTGAAATGTGCCATTTTTAAGTGTTTCTGTGGACAAGCCTCGTAATGACAGCTTTGTAAAGGTTATAGAGATGTTTAATTTGACCATACTTATGGTTTATTTCTTTGGTATTTTGTTCTGATAAAAGGTGGTTTTNATTTAGTGGATCTGGAAAAA